TCTGTGCATTTTCTGTGCAGTTCAACCTAATTTACTTAAATTTACGTTGCGAGACAGTATAATGTTTACAATTCTGCCTGAATTTTTGAAATTCAGAAAAACACTGGTAAACTTCCATTGCATTTAAACGATATTCTCCACCAAACTGGACAAAGTACATATACCACGCATGACTTACCGGTCGTAGCTTCGTCTTTTCTTACCAGCAAACTTTGCACACCGTGACAAAAGTAATTCCATTACGTTTTCTTCGGGTCATACCCATTAGAAAGTTCGAACTCTGTGTCAATCAATAATTCGTAACTCCGCCAGGAAGCAATTACAATCTCGATAAAGGAATTCTTGGAAGAAAAAGAAGAGTTTCATTCCGAGGGGAGTTATATTTACATACTCGTCGTTTCGTAGTTTATATTCGTCGACGTCGTTTCAAATTAAGCCTCTTCTTCGTCTCCCCTTTCTTTTTTTTTTTTAATAATTTCGAGAACGATGCGTTGAAATATGAACTGCCGGGGAATTCAACAGGATGATTGAATTTAATTGAGCACATTTTATTAACTTTTTCTCGACGCGCGAATTCTCCACGTGGAAATAAATGGCAGAAAGGCTAGAATGAGAGACGGTTGAAAAACTAAAGATAGAAAAGAGCGGAATTGTTGATCAATGATTTTTTAACTGGAGGATATGAAAATTTAAAATATCCGTGTTTAATCCTAACCAGGTATGCCGGCCGCCCGACCCTTAGATTTCTTAGCATGTAGTTCTATCGTACATATTTTTTCGCCTTCGTTCGTTTCGTAGCAGCAGTAATTTTATGACGCCACGGCAATCGTAGTCTTTCAATCTAAGAACTTGCTTTCACCTTTATTGCCTGTCCAAAACCTGAACTACGTCCTGAAAAACTGTTGTATACAAAACTTGCACGGTATAGAGGGGGACATATTGCGATGTAAACATTTTTTGCGTTAATGAGTGACCTATGATTTTAACCAATAGTTTTTGCCAACCACCCTTCCCCACCACTATCGAAAATGTGTTCAACCTATCCGAGGGCCTCACCCCCGCGATGCGTCCTCGCACGGAGGTGTCGTGGGACCTTTCGCGGAAAGGACAGACAGAAGTCATCTGACCACGCCAAGAGTCGCTCTTAAGAAGTTTAGTGAATAGCAATAGTTGTTTTGTCCTCCTAATCACGGAGGTGGTCCTTCGAAGACGAAACCTATTAGACTTAGTCGGCACACCACGTGCTAAAATCGACAAAGCTCGAAAGTTGGTTGCAACTACCACGAGCACATCCTAACAATCCGAGACATTTTTTTTTGGCACTTTTAGATGCTCGCTAGAACAGAAATAGCTTTCTCCGTAGTGATTCGTCATGCTTATAACGAGCATAGTTAACGGCGTCTAGCGTTCTTTGACACAGAAAATCTTTACTTGATGGCGCCTCTGGAATATAAAAGGTTCGTATTATTCGTCTTACATTCTGCGTTTTCTATTTAAACAAACGCGTCTCACTGAACTTTATCTACCTTAGTATCTCACCTGTAATTGAAATTTGAAACTGAAATTGAAATTTATATACTTTAACGTTAAATCTTTTATTAAGGACGCAAACTTTACAATCGGGTAAAAATCGGCTTAAAGATACAGCTGTACAATAGATCGTCAGCGAATAAATAATTACGAGGAATAATTGCACGATTAACTTAAAACTATTAGGTATGTACAATAAAATTTTAACCGCTGAAAATATGTATAGTACGAGCCACGATGTAGAAAGATCCTAAAATCTGTCGGGAATCAAAAAGTACACATGTTTCGAGCGTCGAAAACATACGAATTGACAGAAATATAGTTAAGGACCTGGTAGCTACGAACAAATGTTTGAAACTTACTGGCAATTTTAGCTTCGCCTTTCAAGTGAGTTTTATGAAACTCAAGGAAGAACTTGAAATATTCGAAATAGTAATTAACACTTGCAGATTTTCCACTTGCAAATGAAATACCCGTTAGTCGTAAGTTGTTCTTTCATTCTTCAGGAACCCAGAGCAGTTCGAGGATTTAATTTCGACACCCGCTATATCGTGGCACGTGCTATAGATCTTACAAGGGAACATCTCGAAGTGATAGTGACCGATTTTGATGAAACTTTGGTATGTTGTAGTTCTCGAAAAAATATTCGACACGTGTTTTTTTATTTTAACAACAGTGCACAGTGAAGGGGTGAAAATCGCTCTCAAAGTTTAAAAGTTGGGGGTGATAAATACATTTAGTCTAATATCTCAAAAACTATTAGAGATAGAGGAATCGGTTTTACAATTGTGAACATTTCAATGGCAATTTTATAAAAACTTTGTAGAAATTTGAATGGTGCTTTTATAAATATTTTGCAAAAATAACAGATTGGTATGTTTTGAGAAAGTTGAAACATCTCGCGAATTATTTATTGCACTACGACCTAACTCTAATATTTCTATACTCACAGTATCCCAAGGAATCTATTTATGCGAAACTTCATTTACAAAACTTTGCAACCGTATTGTTAGAAAAGTCCAAAAAGCGAAGGCTTGAGTGGGCCATGTGCAGTCTTCTGCTGCGTTTCCCCCTCCTAGGGATAGTTTTGCCTCAAGGCTAAGAAAGGCCATATTGTCAAGGGGGTCCTCTTGACTAGGTTTTTTCAGGAAGGACAGAATTGTATCAGCACTCGTGCAGTATAGTTCAAAATACAAGGATTCACCCTGTTTAACCGCCCACGTTTATATTTTATTCCACCGCTCACCACCGTTATCCTGACCGTTTTTACCTTACATTTCTCTCCAAAACTATGAGGGCGATTTTCACCCCTTCGCTGTTCACAATTGCCAATAAGAAAAAGTACGTGTCGAATATTTTTTTCAATACTACCACACACCGAGGTTTCATCAATATCTATGATCACCACACCGGAAAATTTCCTTTGTTACATTAAAAAACGCTACTCGACGTAGACATCGATTTCTCCTCTTTCGTTTTGCACGCCGGACTCGCGTTGTTCCTCTGTTCCTGCGCGGCGGAGTGCAGTCGATTGAGAAGAGGTTTCGACGTCGAATCCTCCTTCCTTAGCATGTAAGATTTACGAGGAACATTATCGTTCATGTTCCCATCTTTTCCCACGCTCTCTCGACTCGCAGTGAATCGAAACATTTCCTTCGCCTGACTGATAGTGTACCTAAAGAAGATAGAGGCAAATGTGAGAAGTACTTGAACGAACATTATCGTTTATTCTGCCACGTAATCGTCTTTCACGATTATTACCTCACGGAACATCGAAAATTACGAGCTTTCCCGTTCGAATTGCTGTCGCACGTTTGAGAATCTCTCGTTGGCCAACTCCTTCTCCCGGGTTTCCTCGTTTTGCAGCAGATGGTTTGTTTAAAAGCGCGACGGTACTTCATGCTCATTAAATTATACAAAATGGGATTGACCGTGGTGCTGAAGTAATAGAGACACCCACTTAAGATGTAGAGCCATTCGTTTAGGTCCGGATAGTAGTCGGACTCTTGGGCGTAGACGTAGAGCAGCCTCTGAGCGTGAAACGGTGCCCAACAGAAGAAGAATAAAATAACCACAGCGCCTGAAATAACGGATATAATACTTGAGTGAGAAAAGAAAGAAAACGAAGAAGAAGAAAATTTGTAGAAATGCAGGAAAGGTTCCTTACTTAACATTTTAATCACAGATCTTCTAGATTGAACTTGTTTAGTGTCTCCGTGAATTGCACCCTGTACGACTGAATGTACAGTGTCTTTGGTACTGCTTCGAATTTTTAGACCCATTCGAATGTAGACTACCAAAATCACCAGCATCGGTACCAAGAAAAATATGATGCTGCTTAACTCGTACAGTGGGAAGTCCGGCATGTATGGCAGAAGCATTGCACAGATAGCTGAGTCTGCCGAGTATTTTCCGGAATCTAGATAATTTCACACTTTTTTCTGTAAGTTGTCTTTTTTTTTGGATTTGTACAACTCCTGGCGAAAAATTAGAATTTTCAACGTCTTTCGTGGTTTGACGATATGTGGAAGTGATGAACACTGTCTTTTTGTTTTGTTACGTATCTGTGTGTGGACGGAGATCCCAGTACATACAGTGAATCCCACTAATATTCGGACACTCTTTAGAACAGTATAACTTTTTTTAAATTGAACCTAACGACTTGAATTTTCTTCTTTAGAAATTAGAAGGATTAGTATACCAGATGACGTGTGCGAAAAATTTGGAAAAAATTGCAATTTCTGGGAATCGTCAAGAAAATTGTAAAGGTCACTGTTTACAATTTTTTAGTAGGATGGGGAACCGTGTCGTAGAGCCAAATCCGTGAAAATTAACCCTTTCGCGGCGGCAGATTATAGGCAAAATGTTTCATTTTGGCGTTTTAAAGTTTTTAAAAAATTTTGAAATTAAAATTAAAAGTTGATCGTTTCTAAATTTCTTTCATTAAATTAAGGTGGAAATGCAGAAAAGGCAAAAATGAAGGATTAAATTAAGGTGTAAGTGTGCCGAAACTCTTCAACACCACAGTGCGAGGAAAAGGATTAAAGGGTTAAAGAAAATCTTCATACTCCCATGGCCAGGCAATTCTCCCGATATAAATCCAATTAAGAGTGTCTGGAGTATACTTAAATCACTTGTATACAGGGTGTCCCAGGTTTTAATGGCCAAACGTTGTCGGTATATTCTATGGGTCGAAATAAAAAAAAATGTTATACAAACATAGGTCTTTTAGAGCTTCGTTAAAAAGTTATGACAATAATACGAAATGAAGGGAACAATAGCAGACTCGCGTTTACTGCGATGTAATACAGTAATTGTTAACGCTCGTGATCGGATCTCAATGAGATACCTATCGAGCTTTGTAGAGATTGCACGTGATGTGCCGACTAGAGTTCAATATGTATGTCTCGAAGGACCACTCTTACAAATATAAGAGACTATGTAAATTATAATAACTCTTCTTCTATTATTCTTAGCAATGGTGTTCCCTTTACTATTGACTATTCTGAACTATCCTAAGACACGTTTACGCGTGGTTTTTAAGGTATCGGTGATGGCACTGATTGGTTGACAGGGGAATGGAAGTGGAAAACGGGGTGACAAAAATGCGAATATTCAATTGGTGGATGGAATTTGTGGAAAGGTAGCGGGAAGGATTCGGAGCGGGGGTGATGAGCGACTTCTCACCCCTACGGGGAAAGGCCCAAGGTGACGTCAGCGCGGTACCGTTGATCGGGTCACCGTGGCCGTCCGACTCTTGGGTTCCCTAAAGTTTATGACACGGTAATTGCTATTGAGAGAGACAGAAAATTAATTTAGCTAATTAAGGTCACGTACCACCTATTCAGGTACGGGTAAAACTTTGCCTTTTCAAAAATAGCGTCTACAGGCGACCGTATCATAAACTAGTTCTAACGAAGCCTTAACAGTAATAGATCGTCAATATTTGCGCGATATTTACAAGATCGCGTAATTAATTGATACAAAAAATCAACGATGCATTTACTGAAATGAAGTAAAATAATAACGAAATTCGCAGAGTAATCTTCTGATTTCAATCTTGCGTTGCCATAAACGGTGGACATTTTTCAGATGGAGTATTAGATGCTTCTTGCATAAACAGAGTACTTCTGTATTACATCGCAATAACCGCGAGTCTGCTATTGTTCCCTTCGTTTCGTACTATTATCATAACTTTTTAACGAAGCTCTAGAAGATCTATGTTTGTACATTCTTTTTTTATTTCGACCCATAGAATATACCGACAACGTTTGGCCATTAAAACCTGGGACACCCTGTATACATACATCACCAGTCGCTACGTTAGTTGATTTTAAAAAAAAATTCCGGATATTTGGCAAAATCTTCCAAAAATTAAGGATCAGATAAAACAGTGCATACAGAGCGCGTACAGTGCTGTAATCAAAGCAAAGAGGGGAAAGACAAATTATTAATATGTATGTACGTAATATGTGTGTACATTCAAGCCTTTAAGTTCAACTAAATATACGAAAGATGTTGAAAACTGCAAGTGGCCCAAATTTTCCCTCCAGAAACTGTACACGCAACTGAAGAAGTTCAGAGGTGAATTGGTTTAGCTAACCTGGCGGATACTCAACCAAGTTGACTTTCGTATAGATTGCAAACGGAATAGCGCAGACCAGCGCGATGGACCATGCGGCTAAAATGAAACGTATCGGTCTCTTGAGACCGCTTATCGTATAAACGCGAAGCGGATGACAAATGGCCAAATATCTTTCCATGGAGAACGCGACGATCGTGAGAACCGATACGTACGACGACCTGTCAAACAAAACAAACATTACCATATAGGAAAACAGTCAACAGAAATTGAAATTTAACAAAAACTTAGAATCTTGAGAAAATGAAAAATAAAAAAGAGGAAGGAACTTCTTACATTTCCGACACGTACGCTCTGATCTTGCACAGACCAACCCCTAAAACCCATGGATACTGTTGCCAGAAGAGGCTCAGCTCGTTAGGTAATCCTGAAATCGAACGTAACAGAAAATACGATAAGGATCGAACAACAAGAAGATAATCGATCGAACCGAGGAGATTTCATTTCGATTCTATATTAACAACCGTTTAGATTTTTCTTTTTCCGTACTCGCGGTTATCTCGTGCGCTTTATTTCCGTGACGTTCGTGCACGATTGACGTCACGTATCTAGTACAACGCAACAGGAATTGTAACGAGTAAGAGAAACACGCAGAAAGCGTCTTCGTTGTAAGCAAACTCATTTTCCCAAAAGTAGATTTACGACTGACTTAAGCTCGCCAGGTAATTAACACACGAACGTCACACAGTGTTTCACGAAGGACGTTAAGGCAGAGAAGAAGTTGTGTGTCGTGGACCGACTTTGATATTTATTGGAACGACCGTATTCCACTTCCCCGAAACTTTTCGGCATCCGGAGTAACGTTACCGATACGATAACGCAATTATCCAAATCGAAATTTACCTTCTAATTAAACCTGATGACAAGACAGAGCTTTCGACGCTTATTAAACGGATTATTTCCCGGAGGATAATTAAATTTCCCGTTAAAATAAATACGGAGAAATGTTTCTCCGCGTGGAATTGAAACCCCCCGTTTGATCAGGCAACCGTGATAATTTTCCAACAATAACGTCGCTACTGTGATGAATAATTTGTCGAACAGAAGCGAAAACGATCGTGTTCGTAAACTTTTCCGCGTTAATTATTACGAGGAATATCTATCTACAATTGGCACTCGATGAAATCGATATCGGATATCGATCACGGTGAATGTGCGTAAGCATTCCAAGCGCTATCTCGAACTCTGTCAGTCAATGATTTTCATTGGAATCGCGAGAAGAGTGTGTCGATAACGAATCGACACTTTTTCTTTCAAGGTTTTTGACTGAAGATCGGGCCTGTCCAACACGCTGCCCCGCGGGCTGTAAGATGCCCTGGAGGGCTACTCGCGGGCGGAATGATGCCCTGAAGGGCTAGTAATGCGCACTGCCAAGATCGTGAACTTTTAACACTATTTTGTGATTTTTGGCGATATTTTTCATGACTCGATTGCGCTGTAATGAAAAATATAAAAAATAAAGAAAATTTTGTTAATCATAAGTATACAATATGGTTCCTTTTCGCTCGACGCGTCCCTTTCAAGCCAAAAAATTCGACACCCGTGCTGCAAAAACCACGTAATTGGCATGTTTCACGTGTCACCGAGTATAATTGTGTATTCCGAACAAAAGCAACGTGAAACTTTAAAGGCGCCGTTTCCGTCAAAAGTGTACCGGCACATTGACGTCTACAGGTCCAGGAATAGAAATCTCGCTATCTCTTTCATTCAACCTGATCTTTACTCCGGCGAAGAAAACGAAGAAAAAAAAAGAGCGAAACTTACGTAAGAATCTTCATACGAAAACGAGAAAATGTTACATCTACAACTTACCCGGTGACATTCAAATTCCATTCTAAACTCTGTATATACACGATACACCTTATCTCCGCGTTATCTTGATCTCGAATTTCGGATATTCGAAGCGAGACGCCGGTTAAATCTTGCGAACGTGACACGAGCCGTGCACCCGTTTCACAATGAAGCAAACTTCCGCTTCGAAGTTCAAAGTACCCTAAAACCGTTTCATTCATCTCCGCGAATCTATCCTATCGCGTTAAATATCTCGATCGAAGGTCCGCGACATTTGACAGAAAAGCGCGCTCGCGCGACCGCAAACTTTTACCCCGGCAATTTTGCGCAATGACGCGAATAAAAACGACGTTACGATCAGCAAACAACCCACCGAGCGAGATAACAATCGCTAATGTACACAACGCGGGAAGATTAATTTAAAGCCTTTATCGTCGCGCCTCGATGTAAGGAAGCAGAAGTGAAACAGAGATCTCCGAAACTCTGAAACGTGTCATTACCGTTCAGCTTCTGTAAAGAGAATCCTCCCTCCTCCCTGAATTCACCCAATTCAATTGGGGTACTGTTTATCGATAAATCGATCTATTCCATCGAGAGAAATTTTAAAAAAGTATTCCCTTGTGAAGTTGTGATTTAACGCTCCAACTATAAATCTGACTTACCCATCGATTCTTCTCGTGACAATTAAAACCGAATTCGTTCACACGCTTATTTTCGTTAAACGTCTATCGAATTCTTTTTTTGTTCTATTCATTCGTAAATCGTTTCTCTTTTTTACCGACGTGAAGATCGAGGATCGACGTGCCCCAGACGGTAAATGTATCAGGCGTAGAAATAAGTTCTTTCCGACGAATTTCAGTTTTATTGCAAGGGAATCCTGTATTACGAATTCCTTAATCCAGGAGAAACAGTGACTCCTGAATTTGAACGACGCCATCCAAAGAAAAAAGCGATTATCTGGACAACGCGAGCGCAAATTGACACTGTTCCATACGTCTGCAGGGGCAAAATAGGCGATTTTCTCACTGGATTGGGTACTTTTACCGCACGCGGATTACTCCCCTGACATTGCACCTTCGGATCGTCACCTCTTCC